TGGATGACTACAGATTGCAGTCTGGCTATGTTTTCTGCTTGAAAGGAGGCGCTGTTAGCTGGAAGAGTTCTAAGCAAGCAACCGTTGCAGATTCTACTACAGAAGCTGAGTATATTGCAGCGTCGGACGCAGCAAAGGAAGCTGTTTAGATCAGGAAGTTTGTTGGCGACTTGGGTGTCATTCCGGGTGCTGATAACCCCATTGCTCTGTATTGTGACAACAATGGAGCACTCGCGCAAGCGAAAGAACCCAGATCCGACAACGATCCTGATGAGGACATCACCAAGGACACGGAGCTTGGAGATGCGGAGCTTGTAGATACGGAGCTTGGAGATGCGGAGCTCGGAGATGTGGAGCAAGGAGCGGAACCGGAGCTCGGAGCGGGAATGGAGTCGGAACTTGAAGATCCAAGGATTGAGACCACACGTCCTGTTCGCATGGATCCTCCGATCACTCGATCCAAGACACGGGCACTTCGACAACAACTCAATGCCTTCATATCCCGTGTCGTGTCCGAACTCACGCTCGAACGTGTGTGCTCGTCCTCGGTCAAATCTGCCACGGCTCGTTATATGCTTGTGTGCGAAGTTGAGACACCTTCTAGGTCAAGCTAGCCTAAAAAAGAAGCTTCTTATGCAGCAAGCAACCTTCTCCAACAGCTAGAAACAGCCACCTACCCTATTAAATGCTAGAGTGTTGCATGTAGACTTGCTTTCAATTATCTAGTTGTTGTTTTTCTATTTAAGGATGCTAAGTACCCTTTGTAAGGAACTTTTGAACCTTATTGAATCAAAGAAATCAAAATTTCTTCTTCTCCACTTTGAGTGTCGAGTATCCTTGGTCCGTCCAAACCCCGGTTTGTTCGATTGCCTCGGTTGGTCTGAGATACGTTGGTCTGTCCGACGTTCTGCCTTGGTTTGTCCGAGGCTGGTCTTTTGGTTCGTCCAAGGCCTTCTATCCTTCGTCCTCCCGCCTTTTCCCCTGTTCGGATCAAGTTCGAGTGCCCCCACGGGTGAGTGATTGATTCTGACGCCTACACTCCGTTCAATCCCCTCATAACC